TACACATTGCACATATTCTGGGACTTTCTTAACATATTGAGCAGTAATGCTGATTTTGTTCCCTCTCTAAACACTCCACTATTTGTTATATTGGATAGCTCTTGGGGAGGGCTACGTGGAATACTATGGTCATGTAAGAAACAGAAAAAATAAAAAGAATAGTTAAAATTAAAGCAATTATTAGAAGCTATTTTTCCCAATTGAATGCCAATAAAACTGATGATCTAAATTAAATGGATAAATATTTATAAAAATATAAATTGCCCAGATGAACAGAAGAGGAAATAGGATACTTAAATAACTTTATCTTAGAAAAGGAAATAGAATGAGCTATAAATAACCTTCCTAAGGGAAAAAACCCAAGGACCAGATGGATTTAGAAGTGAATTCTACCAAACATTTAAAGAATTAATTCCAATACTATATAAATGATTTGAAAAAATACGCAAAGGAGGCCTATCAAATTCCTTCTGTTACACAAATATCTTCCTGATACCTAAACCAAGGAGAGCCAAAACAGAGAAAGAAAACTATAGAGCAATTTCCCTAATGAATATTCATGCAAAAATGTTAAATAAAATGCTGTCCGGGGGGATTTATAAAAGGAATGCAGGACTGGCTTAATATTAGGAAAATTATCAGCATAATTGATCATATCAATAACAAAGTCAACAAAAATCATATGATTATCTCAATAGATGCAGAAAAAGCTCTTGACGAATACAGCATTCCTTCCTATTAAAAATAGAATAAATGGAGCTTTTCTTAACATGTGAAGTGGTGACTATCTAAAAGAAAGAGCAAGCATTATCTATAATGAAGATAAATTAGAAACCTTTCCAATAAGATCAGGAGTAAAGCAAGGATGTCCATTATTACCATTATTATTCAACATTGGGCTAGAAGTTATAACAAGAGAAGAAAAAGAAATAGAAGGAATAAGCATAGGCAACAAAGAAACAAAACTATAACTTTTTGCAGATGATATGATGGTATACTTAGAGAACTTTAGAAAATCAACTAAAAAACTAGTCCAAACAATGGAGTAGTGAAGTTGCAGGATGTAAAATAAACCCACTCAATGAGTATTTCTATATATTACATATATAAATCCATCAGGAAGAGATAGAGAAATTCCATTTAAAATAACCGCAAACAGTATAAAATACTGCCAAGACACATCCAGAAACTATATGAACACAATTACAAAACACACTTCACACAAATACAGATCTAAAAAATTGGAGAAATAATAATTGCTCATGGGTAGATTGAACCAATATAATAAAAATGACAATACTGATTTACTTATTCAGTTCCATACCAATCAAACTACCAAATAATTTTTTTATGCAGCTAGAAAATGTAATAATAAAGTTCATCTGGAGGAACAAAAGGTCAAGAATATCATGGGAATCAATTTAAAAATAAAAAAGGAAGACACCCTAGCACTAGCATATAGTAAATTCTACAATAGAATGGTAATTATCAAAACAATTTGATACTGGATAAAAAATAGAGTGGTAGATCAATGGAATAAATTAAGGCTACAAAGTGCAGAAGTAAATGATCAGAATAACGTAGTGTTTGATAAGCCCAAAGATCCCAACTACTGAGGCAAGAAGTCATTATTTGACAAAACCTTCTGGGAAAACTGGAAAGCAGTCTGGTAGAAACTAGGCATAGACTAACATCTTACACCATATAACAAGATAAGCTCAAAATGGGTACATGATTTAGACATAAAGGATGATATCCTAAGCAAATTAGGAGAGCATATAAAAAATTGCCTGTCAGATCTAGGGATAAGGGAACACTTCAGGACCAAAAAAGAGATGAGTCACAGGAAATAAAATGTATGATTTTGATTACAACAAATTAAAAAAAATTTTTTTGCACAAACAAAACCAGTGCAGACAAAATTAGGAGGAAAGCAGGTATCAGGGAGGGGGGAGGGAATTGAAAAGTTTTTCTGATAAAGGCCTCATTTTTTAAATATGTAGGAGATTGAGCTAAATTTATAAAAATAAGAGCCATTCCCCAATTGATAAATGGTCATAAGATATGAACAGGCAGATTTCAGAACAAGAAATCAAAGCTATCAATAGTCATATGAAAAAATGCTCCAAATCACTATTGATGAAGAAATGCAAATTAAAACAACTCTGAGATATCACCTCATAACCATGACAGAAAAAGAAAATGACAAATGCTGGAGGGATGTGGAAAAACAGGGATACTAATGTACTGTTGGTGGAATTTTGAATTGGTCCAACTATTCTGGAGAATAATTTGGAACTATGCCTAAAGGGCTATAAAAAACTGCATATCCTTTTACCCAACAATACTGCTTCTACACATCTATATCTCAAAGAGATCACAGAAAAAGGAAAAAGACCTGTATGTACAAAAACATTTCTAGTAGCTCTTTTTATGTTGGCAAAGAATTGGATACTAAGGGGATGCCCATTAGTTGGGGAATGGCTGAACAGGTTGTGGCATATGATTATGATGGAATACTATTAGAATATACAAAATGAGGAAGGAGATGGTTTCAGAAAAACCTGGGAAGACATATGAATTGATACAAAGTGAAGTAAGTATAATCAGGAGAACATTGCACACAGTAGCAACAGTATTGTAATGATGAATACCTGTGAAAGTCTCAACTACCTGGTCAATACAGTGATCCATGACAATTCTAAAAGACTCACAATGAAAAATGTAATCCACCTTCAGAGAGAGAACTGTTGGATTTCAACAGCAAATTGAAGCATATTTTTCTTTTTTTTTTCTTGTTTGTTTGTTCTTTTCCCACAATTTGGCAAATGTGGAAATATATTTTGTATTACTTCATATGTATAATTATTAACATTTTGTGCCTTTTCGACTCATGAGGTAGAGGGGAGAGAGAAGATAATTTGGAAATGAAAATAAAAATCAATTTAAAAAATAGTTAAAACCGTATTACTGGTTGAAACATGAAACTGAATTAAACTTTAAAATGTAAACCAAAAATGATAATAAAAGAATGGAAGGAACAGACATTTTTTAAGTACCTACTATGAACCAGGCACTGTGCTATTATTATTCACTTTATAAATGTTATCTCATTTGATCTTCACAACAATCCTGTGAAAAATGTGTGATTATTATCCTCATCTTTTACAGCTGAGGAAACTGAGGCAGATAGAGGTTAAATGACTTACCCATGATCACACAGCCAGGAAGTGTCTAAGGCTGTGTTTAAACTTAGACCTTCCTGGGGCAGCTAGGTGGCGCAGAGGATAGAGCTCTGGCCTTGGAGTCAGGAAGACCTAGTTCAAATCTGGCATCAGATACTTCACACTTACTAGCTGTGTGACCCTGGGCAAGCCACTTAACCCTGATTGTCTCACCAAAAAGCAAAAACAAAACAAAAAAGTAAACTTAGACCTTCCTGACTCCAGACCCATCACTCTCTCTAATGTTTCACCTCTATACATAATAGCTACACAATGTTACATAGCTATATAATATTATATAATTAATTATGCAGTATTATATAATTCAAGCTAGTATTTGTGATTTAGGCCCACAGGTAGAGCTTTAATATTTACAAAACACTTCATAAATATTGTCTCCTTTTATCCTCACAACAACTCTGGGACATAGGTACTGTTATTATCCCCATTTTACAGATGAGGGAACTAAGGCAGGCAGAGGCTAAGTGACTTGCCCAGGGTCACATAGCTAGTATGCGTCCGAGGCTAGATTGGAACTCCAATCTTCTTGGTGCCAGGTTATATTACTCTATCCACTTTACTGCCAAGGCAGGTCAACTAAGGTGCATTGGAAAGGCCACGGATTTTTACCAATTGACACGGCCGCTGCAGTGATGAGCATGAGACCAGCTCAATGCTCTGTAACCCCGAGATGCATGGATGAGGCGGGAGACAGCAAGGTGGCAGAAGCTCCGTTTATTGAGTGCAGTTAGCTGACTTTTATGGCCCTAGTGATGCATGTTCAAAGCGTGATCCCCCTGTGATAGCCAATCATCAGGTCTGCTGGAGCTCGTGTCAGGACTCATCTCCCAGTGAGAGGAGAGCCAAACCAACCATGGGAGCTGCATGTCAGCAAAGGAGAGGTCCTGGGAGACTTCCTTATTTTTGCCACGCAACTACTTCTACTGATAGAAGCTAGAACTCCCATGGGAAAGTTCCCTCAACAGAGCTCTCATGAGACCGTGAGACATTTACCCTAACACCAATTATTACCTTTGTAACCATGGGCAAAGTCACTTCTTGTTCTGTTTTCTTATCTGCAAAAATGAGCAAGTAGTATAAGTCTATACTAAGACCTCCCCTAGTTCTAAAACTATGATCTTGTCTTTGATTCAATTAAGCCTTGGTGGGATAAGCATACCTCTCCTCCTCATGACTGCTTGGGACAACCATATGGTGTGGGGCAGTGGAGGAAGTGGGAATAGGGAGTGGGTTGGGGAAGAGCACTTAAATGGGAAATCTGAAGGCCTGGTCATTATTCTTGCCACCTCCTCCCGGTGTGACCTTACTTGAGCAGATACCAAGGTTTCCTTGTCTGTGAAATGGTCCGCCTACAGAAGCGTTATCCCGCAAGACGGGGTGGCATTATGGCGATGTGTGTAGACAATGCTGTCTTTTTTCCCGAGTGCTCTGTCCAGTTTGGGGGGTGGGGTGGGGAGTGGGCACCTGGATCTGTGGTTTCACTGATGTGGGGAAACTTCTAATGTGGAAACCCTCCTTCCCCTCCCTTCCCCCAACCCCCTACCCTCAGTGCTGATGCTGATTGGCAACTCCAGCAGTGGCTTGGGTCGCTGAGTTAAGTGACTCACTCATGGTCCTATTACTAAAGTGGGCTTGAATCCTGGTCTTCCTGACTTTCTAGCCATATGGATTTTGCACATAGTAAGTACTCAATGCTATGTATTGAATTAACTGTCTTGTCACTTTCTCTTTCTTTGGGTTTTCTCCTTCCTCTAGGGCTTTTGCAGGAGCTACTGTTCATGATTTTTTTAACTGGTTGTCAGTGCTGGTGCTGCTGCCTGTGGAGGTGATTACAGACTACCTCTACCACCTCACCAATGTCATAATACGCTCCTTTAATATCAAGAGTGGAGAAAATGCCCCTGAACTCTTGAAAGTCGTCACACATCCCTTAACAAAACGTATTATTCAGGTGAGCATCAAGACTTGCTCTGATTTTACATCTGAATCATTAAGACAGTAAAATAGCATTTGTGATGAACTTGGTTCCCTAGTAAGGGGAATTCAAAATCTCCTCTCTCAGTCTGGTAGTGCTAGTTGGATGTTTTTCATACTTATGTCTCTCATTTCATTGTGTAGGTGAGTGGAGCTAAGAGGCAAGCCCTGGGTTGACTTGAGCACCACGTTGGTAGAGTTTTGTTCCTTACTACCGCTCTGGCCGAAGGAAAGACTCAACCATTCTACCATTTTGTGCCTGATAACTTTTTTTTTTATGATATTGACTTGATAGTATTGCCCTTCAGATCAGGTCGAAGATCTGAAAGAGGAAAGAAGAGGAAGCTCTTTCCCAAGGGATGCCTCATTCCAATAGCAGTCAACCAATAAGCATTTATTAAACCCCTACCACGGACCAGGCACTGGAGGACACAGAGACAAAAAATATCCTCACTGGTTTCAAGGAGCTGGCAGTGTACTGGGTCCCCTAGAATGGGGCAAAAAGGTTTATCTGGCCTGGTCCTGATCATACTAAGATGAGGCAAGGTCACCTATGTAAGTGTAGTCCTCTCAAAGTGAGGCCAGTTTGTGTCTCCGTTTTACACACATCCTGGTTTTCTCTTCCGTACCCTGGAGCCCCTAGGAGAGTAATTAATTAACTTTTCAGTAACAAATCATAGCTGAGGAACGGGCTAACCCTTTTCCTCATGTCTGTTGCTTTCCTCAGTTGGATAAAAAAGTCATAATAGAAATTGCTACAGGAGATGAGGCAGCAAAAAACAAGAGTCTGATAAAGATTTGGTGTAAAACTTTTAAAAATGTGGTAAGTATCAAAAAATGATTCAAAGGACATAGATGGGGGAATTGAGAATTCTTCGTTCCACCTGTGATGTTGAGGGACTGCAAGTGCTGTTGGTTTTCTCTAAATTTAGTGCCATAGACCAATACTCTAGTCACCCTGCCTTAGTTATACCTCAGACTGTGGGGCAGAATAAAACTACTCCATGATAGGGATAAAGCAATTGACTGCTCAGGTCCCCATTCTGGGGTAACAGTGCTCAGTCTGAGTGCAGCTCAGCTGGCCTTCAGAAGTGATCCAGATGTTCTGTAGCTTCAGCCAATGCTCCATAGACCAAGCACAAAGACTAAAGGTCTTCTCTGGGGATTATGGGGAAGGTGAGGTAGAGAAGAGGGGGAAAGTGAGGATTCAGTGGCCAGTGGGGTTCATGTCTCCATTGTTGTGAATTGTATCTTCATGTAATACCATTCTTAGCAGCATGTTTCTTTTTTTTGTTTGTTTGTTTTTCCTGTATGGTGTCATCTAGACTTTAAGCAATGTTACTATACCCACCCGAGACAGTTGTACCTCTCCCAGTCTCTGCTGGACTGATGGGAACATGACGTGGACCCTCATGCATAAAGTATATAAAAAGAACCTTGAAAAGTGTGAGTAGAAAATCGACTGGAAAATCAACTTTACTGAGTTTCTAACCTCATTCTCAATTTTTGCTAGGGAGACAAGTGCAGGACAAAAGAAGTCTTGGGTAAACAAGACCTCTGAAATACAGTTATGGGAGACCTGGGAAGATGTGAGAGTCCAACAGAGCTCAGACTGCTTACATTCTGTGCTTACTCCTCTTCCTCTCTCAGCAACTGATAGCAAAATAGTCCTTGATGTGAGAACGGACTGCCAGGCCCATAAGGCAGGCCCGTAAAAGGAGTACTAAAGGCAATATCCTTGGGAAAGAGAAAGTGGCTAGGCCTGCTCTAGGGATCAGCTAAGCTCTTCTTTGCCTGGTGCAAATGAGTGCTTTCTGTATTGGTGATACAGGAGGCAGGGCAAAGAGCTCAATAAATCCTCTGCAAATTTGTTTGGCCTTCTCTGTAACATTGGTCCAGACCTGCCTCTGAGTTATTGGGAAGCATTGGCACAGAGCCTAAAACAAGTCAGACATCTCTTAGAAATATAGGATGCTGGAGGCAGGAAAAAAGGCAGCTTTCACATGGAATTCTTATATACACTATAGTCATTTAGGCAATGGCCTCTGAGTACCAGGCCCTCTTTATTCATACGGGCCCCAAATATTTGTAGGGCATTGTCAATAATCCCAACATTCAAAGGGCCTTGAGAATTCACCTACTTAACACCATAGCCTTTTGCATGGGAGTATTAATTTGCCTGCCTGCAGTGAAATAGGACTGTCCCCATTTTATAAAAGACAAGTGACATCCATAAGATCTCATAATGAGTTGATGGCAGAGTTGATCCTAGGACATTCTTTGCACTGTACCCCATTGGCTCCCAGGTACCATGCCTAGCTTGAATGATGTGCACAAAGCCAGGTGTCTTTACTGCTATTATTACTATTTGACACTTACTGGCTTTTCTTCTCCCCAGGGTTTTAGCTCACCCCTGCAGGATTTATTTTAGACTCTGGATAGGGGCTACTCTAGGAAGTCACATTAACTTTTTTGATGTTGCCAGGGTAAAATCCATACAGTTTCCTGTATTCCTATTTTAGTCACTTGGTTAATCACATTTTGGGACACTCCATTGCACTGAGACTGAGGAGATTTAGTAAAGACTGTGACCAGGTTTGGTCCTCAAGGTACAAAAGATTCCTTCCTGAGAGGCAGGAATGGTAGGCATACACATGTGTGTGTGACAGAAACATAAAAAGACTTAGATTTGAATTCCAGATTCAACATTACAGTGAAAAGAGCCTGCATTTTAAAGGAGACCTGAATTCAATTTCCAACTCTGGTGCCTAATACTCATATGAACCTGGGCAACTCACTTAACCTCCTCTCAGGCCTTGATTTTCTCATCTGTAAAATGAGTGGGTTGGACTAGATGACCTCTTACATCTCTTCCCAGAAATAAAATTCTGGTTCTATAGAACCAAGGGTTGAAAAAAATATTAGTAACCCCCTACTTCCATCTATCTAAATGTCTAGTTTACTACTAAGGAGTAATTTAGGAATTGAGGCTCAATTTGAGCAATGTCCTCCTCATAATGGTGCAATGGATGGTGCTCTGGACCCAGAGTCAAGAAGACCTGGTGAAAATCCATCCTCAAAGACTTATCTGGTGACGCTGAACAAGTCACATAACTGCTGTCTGCCTCAGTTTCCTCATCTGTAAAATGGGGATAATAATAGCACCTATCTCCCAGGGTTATTGTGAGGATCAAATGATATTACATTTGTAAACCACTTTGCAAATCCTTTTTTAAATAGTATTTTCTTTTTTCCTATTACTTGTAAAGATAATTTTGAACATTCATTTAGAAAAATTTTGAGTTCCAAATTTTCTCCTTCTCTCCCTCACTCCCCCCACCCTAAGACACTAAGCCATTTGATATAGGTTATATACATGCAGTCATATAAAACATATTTCCACATTAGTCATATTGTAAAAGAAGACACAGAGCACAAAAAAAAACCCAACTTAAAAAAAGTTTTGATCTGCATTCAGACTCCATCTGTTCTTTCTCTGGATATGGATAGCATTTTTCATCATGAGTCCTTTGGAATTGTCTTGGATCATTGTATTGCTGAGAAGAGCTAAGTCAATCATAGTTGATCATCACACAATGTTACTATTATTGTGTATAATGTTCTCCTGGTTCTGCTCACTTTATTTTACATCAGTTCCCGTAAGTCTTTCCAGGTTTTTCTGAAGTCCGCCCACTCATCATTTCTTATAGCACAAAAGTATTCCTTTACATTCATATGCCACAATTTGTTTAGCCATTCTCTAATTGATGGGCATCCCCTTGATTTCCAATTCTTAGCTACCATAAAAGGAGCTGCCATAAATATTTTTGTACATGTGGAACCCTTTCCCTTTTCCTTTTTGATCATGGCTTTCAGGGAGCCTAATAATTTTAAAATAGTTCTCCTAGATCTATTTTCCAGATCAGTTGTTTTTTTGCAATGAGATATTTCACATTTTCTTCTATTTTTTCATTCTTTTGATTCTGTTTGATTGATTCTTGATGTCTCATGAAATCATTAGCTTCCACTTGTCCAATTCTAATTTTTATGGAGTTTTTTTTTTTTTTTTAGGCAATTGGGGTTAAGTGATTTGCCCAGGGTCACACAGCTAGTAAGTGTTAAGTGTTTGGTCTGAGACCGGATTTGAACTCAGGTCCTCCTGACTTCAGGGCCTGTGTTCTACCCACTGTGCCTCAGGAGTTATTTTCTTTAGTTAGTTTTTGTACCTACTTTTCCACTTCTCCAATTATACTTTTTAAGGAGTTGTTTTCTTTGTTAAATTTTTGTACATCTTTTTTCCTTTTTTTTTTTGTGCTTTCATTATCAAGCTGTTGACTTTTTTTTTTTTTTTTTTTGGTGTGACAAAATTTATTGGGCCTAGAAGTCAAGGTATGGATAAGATGGAAAGTTCTAAACAGAAACTAGACTGTGGCAAGACAGATAATCCTAGTTAAGGGGTGATGGAGAAAGGAGGTAGGCTCTGTTTTTTCAACAGATCATTCCTTTTGTGTCTCCCCTGGCCTATCTTCTCATAGTTCTTCAGGAGATATTATATAATACAGCATAAGTATTTTGGATCTCCATGACCATCAGTCTGGTCTCTCCGTACTGTGATGAACCAGCTGTCGTCAGTCGCCCACATGTGGTTGCTTTGCTGCTTTAGCCACTGCATCGCCCCTTTCAGAGATGCACTTTGAGATCTAGGTGTGGAAGCCATCCAGCTTAGTTCTAAGTGTAGTCATCAGCTCACATACCTTCTCCTGGACACCTACTCCAAAGTTGTTTCCATCCTCAATTCAGGGCACCTGTACCTGCAGCCACATGGAAACCAGGTTGAGCTGTTCTTTCACATCTTTGATCTCAGGCTTCAACTGCCCCAGAAGGGCCACAATCTTCTCATTGCAGCTTACAGGCCCACGAGGGAGACCTTTATCTTCATCTTCCTCTTTTTTCTTTCTATCCTTATCATCCTTCTCCTCTTGTTTCTGATGCTCTTCCTTCTCTTTTTCTTTGGCTTGGTCAGGGACTGGGATGTCCAGAGGGGCCTTTAGGAGACTCAAATCAGCCTCATTCAGAGATGGGTCCTTCAAGAACTCATCCAGCTCTGAAATCTTTGTGTGGAAATAGGTTGCAAGTAGGATCTCTGCCTGAGCACATGACTCCTTTCTGAACAAATCTACCTTGGCTTGGGCTTCGGGTCTGACACTGAGGGTGGCCACGGCAGGGGAGTTAAGAGGTCAGACTGAGCAGTGAGACAGGAGCAAGGGTGAAGGTGCTGACTCTTTTTTTCATGACTTTCTTGCATCACTCTCATTTCTTTTCCCAATTTTTCTTCTATCTCTCTTATTTGATTTTTAAAATCTTTTTTGAGCACTTCCAGGAGTTCTTTTTGGGCCTAAGACAAATTCACATTTTTCTCTGATGTTTTGCTTGTAGGTGTTTTGACATTGTTGTCTTCTTCTGAGTTTGGGTTTTGATTTTTCCTATCAACTTCATTATTTTGTTTCTTGCTTACTTTTCCCCAGCCTATTTCATTACTTTTAAAGTTGGGTTCTGCTTCTGGGGTGGATGGGTCACTGTCCCAGGTTTCTAATACCAGGGACTGCAGTCTCTGGTTGCTTGCCTCATGCTGCACTGGGGTTGCAGGAGGCCTGGCCACTCTCCTGGTGTTGTGTCAGGGTCCACAGTGGGCCTGCTGCTGCACCAGGGCCACAGGGGGCTCAGCACTCTCTTCTGGTTGCTCCCCTTTTACCTGAGTGAGACAGAACTTTCCTCCCGACTTTCTAAGTTGTCTTAGGCTGGTAAATTGTTTCATCCCATCTTTTTGTTGGTTCTGCAATTCCAGAATTCATTTTGAGGTGTTATTTTATAGTTATTTGGAAGAGAATTTGGAAGAGTTCAGGCTATTTCCTATGTTATTTTGCTATCTTGACTCCCAGAAGTCAGGACTACTTCCGCACTTTGTAGATCTTAAAGCATCATATCAAAGTTAGTTATTATTGTGTAAATGTGGCTCTGAAGCTGTTTTCTTGAGTTGCCATATTTTCCAGAAACACTGGATCTGGAATATAGAGGAGGGTCTGATCAAGCCAATAATGAACACCAAATCCCCCCCCACACAATGAACTGATATAATTTGCAACTCTCAACCCTAATAGAACTCTCAGTATGCCCTTGAAGCTGAGTCAGCTACAAGACAGGTGCCAGACAGTCTGCACTAGACTGATAAACTATGTGCAGCTGGAACCTTTTTGATAAGCAAGGACATCCTACCTCCATGGTCTAGCAGTTCCCAAAGGAGGAGTAGGGGCTAGTGCCCCTCCTCCTCCCTCTTGTTCCCCCTCCTTTTACTGACCCCTTTCTCTTCCCATGTCACCTCCCATGTGGGAGGGGATTGCCCTTCTCTCCTCCCATGTGGCCTCCCCTTTTCACTGTAACTCTTAAATATCCAAGGCTTTGGCTGCATTATTGAGTTCCTTTGTACACTGGATAGAGAATACCCAACATCCACGTCTTCTCCTATCTCTTTTAATAAGTTACTGCTCAAGTCCTTTGGAGTGGTGACTAAAAGTTGACAATTGTTAGTATTATTATGATACATAGCATTTTCAGCATACAAAGCACTTTATTATATTTCCTGTACAATTAAACTGAACTGGCAAGTAAGTAATACAAACTTGGGCAAATCCATTCTTGGGAAGGGGGAAATGCCATCTCTGGTGCAAAGATCATAGAATGTTAGAGCGGGAAGGCTTCCTTCAGGTCATTTAGTCCAACCCTCTCATTTTATAGAGCAGGAGATCGGACACCCAAACAGGTGGAGGAAGCTGCCCACTGTCACAGAGAGCACAGCAGAGAGCAGAATTAAGATTCAAACTCAGGACTTCTAGCCTTAAATCCAGTGGTCTTTCCTCTATGTTATATTGGGTGCCCAGGGACTTAACTGTCAGTTGACCCCCAAGCCCTCACATTTCAAGGTGTTTTAGGACTAAAAATCAGCTTCTTATAAAAAGGTTGGCAACTCTTACTCTAAAGCAGAGTCCCAGGGTTAAATGTTATTTGGATTTAACTTAAATTCCTTTCACAAGATTTCTCCTGAATCGATAATCTTTTTCTGAATTAGAATCATTTTATAAAAGGCATGATGCTTTATATAAGACCATGTACTCAGATCAGATGAGAAGGAGGAAGAAAAAGATGATTGGTTTACAATGAAATTCTTAGAAAGAGAAACACAGTGGAGCCCAAGAAAAGACAATGTCAGCACCAAAGAAGCCTTCTGGTTTGCTAGGCTTTATTAGCCATGAATCCTCTTGATAAGTGGTTCCTCTGGTTCCTCCAGGCAAACACTTATTTGTGGATGTCAAACTCTCAGATTCGAGCATTGGACTCATCCTTCTACCCCTCTCTTTGCTGGTCCTGTGCACCTGTTTGATCTTGATGGTCAAGGTCCTGAACTCTATGCTCAAGGGACACGTTGCTGCTGTGATTAAGAAGACGATCAACACAGGTAGGCATTTTACCTGCCCTGAGACTTTCTGTGGGTGGAGTCCTTGTGAAAAAAAGACTCCAGCCAGCTCTCTTTCCATTATGCTCGCTGAGGTCCACATCTGATCTCACCTTCCTGGAAGCAAGGACTCTAGATGACTCAGGCCTCCACTAGGATTTTCTACTTGTGATCGACAATTCTGGAAGTACAAGTTGTCTCCTTTATTTTGAATTGGTATTCTTGTGCTGAGAATGTTCCTGAGCCCAAAAGAGGGCTCATTGCTCTGATATTGTGTCCAGTATAAGAAAGAACTGGCCCTGGAGGGTCTGGTTTAGCTGTATAGAGAGATCTAGGGAAAGAGGAGTTAGCTTTTACCATATTTCCCACACACAGACCTTTCACAAGACTGTAGTGAGACCATTCCCCTTGGGACACTAAGAATAGGAATGATAATGATAAGAAGAGAGGCAGCATGATATAGTACATAGAGAGCTGACCTAGAAGCCAGGAAAATCTGAGTTCAAATCTCACTTTTGACATATACTGGTTGTGTAACCAAGTCACTTAACCTCTTAAGAGTTTTAGGCAACCCTTTAGGACTATGTTACAGAGAATCTACCAGCATGCATTGAGAGAGTTTGCTCACCAGAACACTCCCTATACCAAAGAAATCACAGGAAAGTCCCTTTCCCCATCCCTAGTAAACTCTATAGAGCTCTAAAGTTTGCAGATCCTGTACAGACATCAATGCATTTAATCTTCAAACCAGCTCTGTGAGGCAGCCACATGGGTATCATTATCTGTATTTGAAAGCTGTTAAATGATCTGTCCAGGGTGACAATACTCAAGGTGGAATTTGACCTAGATCTTTCTGATGCCCAAGTCCATCCTTCTTGGTCAGACTCTTACTAGCTACGTAATCTTGAACAAGTTAAAGAACCCACATGGGTCTTGTGATACAACAGAAAAATAGAGCATTAGATCTGGAGTCAAAGGTCCTAGATTGAAATGCTGCCTCTGCTATGTGCCTTTGGGCCAGTAAATGGAGGTCTCTGGTCCTCCAGTTCTCCCTGTATAAATGAAGGGGGTTGGACAAGGTGATATAAAGTCTCTTCCATCTCTAAATTTGAAGAGCCCATGATCTTCTAATTAAAAAAAAAGAATATGTTAAAAAAAAAAGTTACACATGTACTGTTCCTGATAAGGGCACTGTAAATAATAAAGAGTTGTAGAAATTTGACTGTCATCATTAGTTGACTAGGAAAGATAGTGCCAAGCTGCTACATATCCCTGCTGCCTCATATACAACCACAGAAGCAGGAATGTTGGAGGAAGAGGAAGGAAGATTATAGCAAAGTAGTGGGCAAAGCATGGCTATGGTGGCCATTATAAAATAATAAATGTTATAAAATATAAAAATAATAAAAGTTATTATTAGAGAAAAAGGGGGTATAGAGGCTGAGCATACAAGACGCCACAGTGATTAGAATGCTGGCCTGGGAGTCAGGAATATATGAGTTCAAATACTGACTCAGACACTTATTATCTGTGTGGCCCTAGGCAGGTCACTTAACCTCTCTTAGTTTACTCACTTTTCTACCTCCCAAGGTTGCTATGAGGACCAAATGAGATGTTTGCAAAGTGTGTAGCACAGTGTCTGGCATACGGGAGGCACTTAATAGATGCTTAATTCTCTCTCCTCCCTGCCCCAACCCCACCAAGCAGAGAATTGACAACCTCTAGCAATTCCTATTGATTCTTTTTTTTGGGGGGGGGGCTATTTTCCACATGTAACATCTTGGGGAAGCCTGGGATAATTCCCAATAAACTCTTTTAGGCCTCAGCTTCACTTCATCTTCCACTGCACCTGATCTCACCCCTTCCCTAGCTGGGTTGTTGTGAATTAAGATACTGAAGGAACTTAGAGAGAGTGAGTTACTCAAACCCCCTACTTCCACCTGAACTGTTATAAGCAAGTAAGTTGAGATGCAGACCTGGGGCACTTTGAGTTGATCTGAGGACCCAGATATGGAAACAATGGGGAATGGGAATGAGTATTTATATTAAGCTTACTATGTGCTAGGCACTGTGTTAAGTGCTTCTTACAAACATTGTCATTTGTGCAAAGAAAAGTAAAATAAAAGTCGTTTTTAGAACATTGGCTGAGAGCCACTGATGAAAGCCCCCCCCCCCAACTCCCCACCTCCTCCCTGGGAACCTCTTGTTGACTGCTTTTAATTGCCTTAGAAACTGTTTCTGCTAGAAGATTTGGAATATGTTTTTAGTAAAATGACTATTTCAGAATGGATCTTGGAGTGATCTGTTGCATCAGATATTAAATTGTCCTATAGACCAGGACATTTGTAGAAATGGTGCCTTTTTCTTCTCCTGTTTCCCAGATTTCCCCTTTCCTTTTGCCTGGCTGACAGGCTACCTTGCCATTCTAGTTGGAGCTGGGATTACATTTCTCGTGCAGAGTAGCTCTGTGTTCACCTCTACAATTACTCCTCTGGTTGGTAAGTCCTCTCTTCCTCCCCCTTCCCTTTTCACATGCCCATATCTCCATTTTTACATGTGATCCTACCATGCTCAGTCATTCCCACCCAGGACTGAATCCAATGTTTCTTTTGTTCCCTTAGGCATCGGTGTGATCAGCCTTGAGAGAGCTTATCCTTTAACCTTGGGCTCCAACATTGGTACCACCACCACTGCCATCCTGGCTGCATTAGCTAGCCCTGGAAATACTTTGCAATATGCAGTCCAGGTCAGGATGCACAACTGTGACTCATTACTTCTTTCCATTAAGCTCTCTATTCTTAGCTTACTACTAAATCCTTCAAATGAACACCTTGGCTTCTTTCTTATCAGATGCTTCATATCACAAAGGGACATTTATTACTGCTGAGATCTTACTTGCCTCAGAATGGTGACCTGTGGGTTAGAAAACTATTCCCTAGCTATTGTTCTCAGAAGCTGAACTTCCTAAATAATGACCAGATACCTCCAGCTTGTGTCTGTAATAAACAAATTAGGATGGTGAACAGTATCTTCCCACCCTCTACCTTAACCCCTGCCCCCCACATAATATGATTGAAAAAGGTATAGATTACATCCTTCTTTTTGCCCTTCTATCAGTCAGAAAAGGTGTTATGGTAGCAAGAACTTGTGACTTTGATGTCAGAAGACCTAAGTTTGAATCCCACCTCTGTTACTTGCTAGGTGACTGGTATAGATCCATGTTTTGTGTTTAGAGGAGGGAGAGGTGACTGTTGGTTTCATGGGGGAAAGAGAAGCCTCTTCCTTGAAGGATACTGAGGATCTGTTTGGGCAGAGAGCAGAAGGAAAAGTATGAGAGGGAGAAGGATGTGAACAAAGGTCCCAGGGATATGTCCAGTGAACAAGCATCTCTGAAGAACCAGTTTCACTGGAATGGATGATAATGGTCCCAGGGGCAGTACTAACATGAATGATGATAACAGGACTGTTGTAGACACCGTCTCCTTTAAGCAGCAGGAGGTAATGCTGAAAAAGGCAGATGAGGATCAAGTTCTAGAGGGCCTTGAAAGCTGAACCAAGGATTTTGGTTTTTGTCCTTCAAACACTGGGAAGGCAACAGGTATTGGATTTAAGGGTAGGTGTCATCAGAATTTTGATTTGGGAAATGTATATGTGTGTGTGTGTGTGTGGTCAAGAGACCAGCCAGGAGGAGGCTTTTGGAATAGGCCTAGAGATGGAAGGGCTTTCAGAAATCATCCAGTTCAATTCCCCCTTATTTTATAGATGAGAAAATAGTACTTGAAAAGCAGCATTATTTTCCACCATAGTACAAAGTCCAGGTCACAAAAATGAAGATCTGGTGATGTCATCAGGAATGGAAAGGAGGGAATGAATACAAGAGATACTGCAGAAAGACTTAGAGAGTCATCCCTTCGAAGGCAAGAGAGAGGGAGGGGTCAAGGTTGAGATTGGCAGCCTAGACAAGGACAGGATGGTGGTGCCCTGAACATTCTCCAGTGTGAATATTGCCTCACTAGCCACCTGTCTTCTCCTCTTCCTCCTCTCCCTTCTGTAGCAAGGGAGGCTGGTATGTGGGCAGGCCAGGCAATGCCTGGGTAGGAGAAAGGTGACAAAGGAATATGGGTGGCAGGGTGAGGAGTAGAACTCGATTCAAAGCATGATAAGACAATGAAATTAATTTTGTAAAACAATTTCAAAATTGATTTTGAAAAGAATTATAATAAAAATCTCGCTGATTCTGGAATGCAATAATTTCTTTTTTATTAATTTCATTGCTTTTTAACTCACTGGTACCTAATTCCATTTGGAACAATGTTTTTAATTAAGTAAATTGTTTTTGAAACTCAGCAGAAGTGGCTTAAATTATCAACTTAGCTTTGTTTGTACGCCAGGACTCAAGCTCTTCATTGCATTCAGTTCCTTCCTGTGTGCCCATTTGCAAAGAGGCCCATTTTCACAGGATTTAAGAGTTGGAAGGGATCTTTGAGATCATGTAGTCATCCTTTTGTAGATAAGAATTTTGCTGAAGGTCAAGGCCATGCAGATAGTAAGTGGCAGAACCAAAATTCAGAAGAGCAGAATGTAAGCTTATTGGGGGCAGGTACTTTTCCTTTCTGTGTCCCCAGCACCTAGCACAGTGTTTTGCAGATAGGAGGCACTTAATAAATGCTTGTTGACTTAAATTGTAGCTAGGTCTTCAGACTCCCATATGCATTGTTCTTTTCATGACATCGTAATGAGTATTCTTATTTGTAGAGTGCATTAAAGTTTCCAAAGTACTTGACATAATGATCTCCTTGGATCTTCACAATAATTCAGTGAATGAAGAGCTCTATTGCTGTGTTCTCAGATGAGCAAAGTGAGGCTTCTAACCCAAGTCTTCTGACTTTAGGTCCAGTGCTCTCTAGGTCACACTTAACATAACATCCAGCCATCTCCTGCTGCTCTATATTCTTGCAAAACTGAACAGACTGGACTAGATGCCTCTGGTGTTCCTGGCTCTTAAATTTAAGAACCCATGATGAAAATACTTGTGATGATAGTTTCTGTCACACCATTGAGCTTTCCTTCCCTTCTCATCACCACCTGCCTCCTGATTTCCCTTCCCTCTCCCTGACTGATTCCACGTGTGTGCTAGAGGAGTTTTCATCTTGTCTAATCCTTTTGATTTCAGATTGCCCTGTGCCATTTCTTCTTCAACATATCCGGGGTGCTTCTGTGGTACCCGGTGCCATGCATGCGCCTGCCGATCCATCTTGCCAGGGGCCTGGGAAATATCACAGCCACCTACCGTTGGTTTGCTATCTTCTACCTAGTCTCCTGCTTTTTCCTGTTTCCATTGATAGTGTTTGGCCTTGCCCTGGCAGGTTGGGCCATGTTGGTGGGTGTTGGAGTACCCATCCTATTGATGATTATCATATTAATGTCAATGTGGGCCTTTGAGGTCCACCACATACTGCCCCTGTGGATGCACTCCCTAGAGCCCTGGGATAACCTGATAACTCGTTTAATGGACAAATCCTGCTGGGGAGGTTGCTGCTACTATGTAGGCATTTGTTGCAGGGTGGTGTTCCTGCCCTGGAAATGGTACTTTTGTGAGTGCTGGAAACTGAAGAGAGATGACGAAAAGGCCAAGGAAGTCCCTGTCAATGTCACTGAGCAGTCTGAAAACACTGAAGTCATAACTGACAAGTCCCAGACTTCAGCCCAAACACAAGACAAAATCAGAGAAACGAAGATCTCTCAAAGCAGCATAGCTTTATAGCGGTACAGTAAATGATAGGGGAAGAGAAAAGATGGATTATTTCTTGTTCTACCTGCCCTTCCTCCCTTGAAGTATGGGAAGGGTAGGGGCACATGGTTAGCTATCCATTGGAAAAGTGGAGTCCCAGACATTTGCTATTCCTACCCCTTACCCTAGAACCCAAATCATTGGCAGGTAGGGCTGACTCAGTATTGGCAGAAACAGTGATCAAAGCACCATCCTTACTAGGGCCACAATTCTCTCTCATGTGATTTCTGGCTCTCTGAAATGCCTGGGACAAGAACCATGGGATTTTTGCAAGATGAATCCTGACTAGGCCAATTACTTATACTCTCTGCAGAAACACTAGAGCCACTGACCAACAGGATGTGTTTTAAAGCCCTAAACAATTTTCAGAAGGAAAGAATTCCGTTGCTCAAATATACATAGTTACACTTTTATTTTTAAATAAGTGTGAGTTTGGTTGCTAAGGCACGTGGCTCTTCCCAGGAAAGACCTGACTGTAAATAGGAAATCAGTACTTCCCTGGCCCTACAAAGCTGGGAGGCAGGGCAGGCCTGGGTGAGAAGATGCCAGCCAGTGACATACACCACCCAGCCCAGTCTTAGTAAGCCGCATGTCCCTCCGTTCCCTGCCATATGGAGACTTGCAGGAAGGGGAAGGTTAAGGACTATGTTTTATCTACAGCAAACCATGTGGATACCCTTCCCATGCCCAGGAGAAACTGCTGGTGGTCAGCAGCATGCGCTGGTTAGTTAGGTAGGCTTGGGCTGCCTCCATAGGCTGATGACCATGATGCCCAGTACCAAAGATAAATTCTAGTGAGGTAGAATTACTGTGTATGCTCATGCCCCCTCTTTCCTGACCTTACTGTCTCCACAGTTTCTCTTGGGCAGTCTATAACCTGACCAAAGCCAGGCAATTTCTAGAACATTGAAAAGGTATTTCTAAAGGATAGTAATTTAATTAAGAAGCAAAAAAGGTCACCGATGTGCTTTTGGATTTCTTCCTATTGGAGGGATACGAAGGTGGGAATGTTCCCAGGGCAGTTAGCACTTTAGTTGCTAATTGGTCAGCAGCTTCTTTCTAAGCAGCAGCTTCGACTTCTGCCATGAGTCGCTTTCAATCTGGGATATGCCAGAAAGCCAGCTTCATAAAGGTCAGAGCTAAGAACTGGTCCCACTCTGATAGTCTAAGTGCCTCAGATGTCATGAGGAGGTTGGGCAGGTTATGGTTAGAAAAGATCAGTTCCTCTGTCCATCTTAGGCCATTGCCAGTCTCTCAAACTCTGGCTGTGGGAATTGGCCTTGATATTTTGTGGGCTAAGCTTTTTCTTCTGCTAACCCCAGTTAGTGGTTTGTGAGTCATGTCATGAAGTTTGTTTTGCCCTCAGATGGAGGGGGAACAGAATAAACTGAGCTGACTGCAGGATCAGAGGACCATCTTCAGAGGTCCTTCCCACCTTGGACCTTCCATGAGGCACCAGTGGACCAGCCACCTAGCCTTTTAAGGGGGGGGGGGGGGGTGAAGGATTCTGAGGTGAATGGTCTTGCTGTGAGCTCTTCTTTCTGGGTCCTTGCATCTCTCTGTCCCTTTTACAGAAAGGAAAACCTCCTAGACCCATTGAGAGGAGGTAGGGTGGTAGGTGGCCATGCCCTAGGTAGAATGTGGATTTCAAAAGCATGACCCTCCTCAGACAGACCATCTATATTTTCTATATCCTCAAAGGATGATAGTCTGGCTAGACAAAAAGCACCTTGTTTTAAGATAACTTGTTAAAGACTAATCTGGAACTTCTTTCCAGATTTTCTTTCATTTGCCAGGAATGAGTTTTGTCCATTTCCATCTCCTGTCCTCTTTGGCCCTTAAACTGCTGCTTCTTAAAAGAGGCTAATTGGTGAGCATGTGACTGGAAAGGCTTGAGCTGAGCGTAAGCCAGAAGGTTGAATGGACCAGTCAGCCTTGGTCCCAAAGCCCCTTTTGATGTATGTTATGTGTATGTGCACGTGGGTGGGGTCAGGGAGGCTGTACCTAGCAGCTCAGATGCCTTCTCCTTGCCTTTCATGGGCCCTTCTTCTAAGAGAGAAGAATCTTCACTTGCCTTTCTACCAGCCACATACATCACTTTTCCTCTAACACACCCTCTCTAATACTCCCACCTCATCCCACTTAACTAGGCTCTACCAACAATTTCCCAGCTCCAAACAGTATGTAGCAAAGGGGAATATAAGATGAGGAAGAAGAACAACTAGCCCATTTCCCAACTCCCAGATCATTTGGAGGCTTATCTTGACCTTCTACTATGTATATAACCTTTCTCAGACAGATACCAATATAGTCTGTATGTATAGTCACTGAATTGTACAGTTGTATCCTAAGTTATATAGTAAACAACCTGTATGATTCTGGTTTTATACTGCTCACCCTTGAAAACAAAAAGTGTTTAACTGCAAAATATCTTTATATATATATATGTATGTGTGTATATATATATATATATATCTATATCTAACATAAGTAAGAACATTTGTATATTTTGTAGTATCTTTTAAACTTCTCCATACCACACTGTAAATACAGATATTAAGCACCTAATTGATCCCCTTTGCACTTCATATACTTTTTTCTAGATGGATTATTCATGTAACATATATACATGGTGTGTTTTTCCATATTTTTGGAAAGGAAGAAACAATAAAAGATATTAAACCCAAAGGGGATGCATTTTTGAAGGCAAGGGAATGAGTTACTTTGGTTTCCTCTAACATTTTCTCCTTGTCCTTAAAAACTCTTTAATATGCTGTTTGTTTATATGTGCCCTTCCCCTTGGTGCCCCCTCCCAAATTAGCAAAAATAAGCATCTGATCAGGTATGTTGCCTGATCTGTTCAAGAATCCAAGCCAGAGCTGGGGTCCATTATCCAGCAAGACCCTTTCTTAAGTATATCATTACGTTTCCTTATTCTAGTTCCTGGGTCTGGAAGCTTGAATTAATCTACAGAATTGTTGTAGAAGGCATCTTTTGTTGTGCCTTTCTTTCTAATTGAATAGAGACAGAGAAAGAACTGATAAATAGAAGTATGCCTGGCATAGTTGTGTGTGTGTGTGTGTGTGTGTATGTGTGTGTGTGTGTGTGTGTACATGTATCTGTGTCTAATGGTGGCCTCTAGTTCAGGGTGGGGAAGGAGGGGGGAAGACAGCTTGGAACTTAAAAACAACAACAAAAAGACTCAGGCCAGAGAGCTGCCATCAGCATAACCAGAGAGTATGGAGATGTCATCTAATTAGTCAGTACCCTGAGAAGCATCAGGGGGTTGATTTCAGAATGGAGGTGGGGTCTGACAGATGAGGGGTCAGAGGATTCAAGGCCCTTGGAAACTCTCCTAATTGCTTAGGTGAGGCAGGCCATTCTGTTGCAATATGCACTAATTAATATAGTGGAGTACATTATTAAGTATTAACTTTGGCATCAGAAGATAAGTTTGTGAATAAGTCACACTCCCAGTCTAGCCTGGGTGGCTGGCTCTTGTACAACATGGGGAACATAAATTATGTGTCAGGACAAAAATGATGCCCTCTTATTTGGCTGGGCTAATCAAAGATGCTCAAAGGTTCTCTGGTGCTAGCTCTGTTTGTGCTTGAGATCCTTCTTGCCCCTTGACAGAGGGCATCTCCCCTTTGGTTAGCACCATTCCTTCATGGCTGCTCAGCTGTGGGGTGGTAGAAAGTTCTAAACTTGGAGTCAGGAAACAACATACCTAGTATTTCTCCCTCCTATCTCCCTAGGGTTATCTTAAGAAAAGAATGAGAAAGGGCTTCCCAAGTCTTTAAAATGTTATGTAAATACCAACTCTGGCAAATGCTAAGCCCCTAAGGCTCTCTCCTCCCAGAGATTTAGTGAGATGGGGCACATAGAATAATCAACTGGAGTTAGCAATACTCAGCCATATGAGGGAAGCAGAGAGACTTTAGCTTTAGGAGGAGATGGCTTGAGGAAGAATAGGAACTTGGAAAGTGGAGCCCAAAAGAACCCAGAGAACTGACTGTAGGTTGTGAAAGTCAAGAAGATAGTCCTGGCAATCTGAGAATGCTGGGTTAGCAAGCACGGCCACTTCCACCAGAGTCTACTGATTTCTCAGCTTGCCAGGGATACAAGACCTTGGATTCCAGACTGTCTGAACAGAGTGTGAAAGTAGTCATCTTATATCAGGAGCCACCTTGGCTTATTATACTTTTAAGTTAATTTTCCTTTAAATAGTTTGTTTCCTCAGTGGTGGTTTAGGGCTTCAGAACCAACTTTTCAGGCAACCAGTAGTTATTGTACCAACAGGGACAAGATGATACTTCTAAAAGTAACTAGAGGGGGGCGGCTAGGTGGCACAGTGGATAGAGCACCGGCCCTGAAGTCAGGAGGATCTGAGTTCAAATCCAGCCTCAGATCAAACACTTGACACTTACCAGCTGTGTGACCCTGGGCAAGTCACTTAACCCCAATTGCCTAAAAAAAAATAAAAAATAAAAGTTACTAGGCAAATACTTGCCCTTGAGGAATTTATAGTTTCAAGAGAGACACAAAATCGAGAGCTCTTAAAGGACATACAGAATAGTGGACAAAGGGAAGCCTTCAAGGAAAGGAAGGGAACATCTAGAGCTTAGAACATGGAGAAGTTAGGTCTTCGAAGAACTACCTTGAAATGACTAGAAAATCTGATTATCTTGAAATACCTGGGAGGAAAGGAGGACCAATGGGCTTTTGGCACCAACCTAACAGGCCCAGAGTCACATGGAATAAAAGTCAAACAGAGTGAAGGGGCCAGAGAAATGATCCCTATAATCCTAGTTGGGGAGAAGGGCAAGACAGATGAAATACAAAGGTGACTGTCAGGAATGATCTCCTGATTATTAACCTAGAGTTCAAATTCCTCAAAAGCCAAAACTCACAATCAGCTGATTATCAAAGGAGCAGGTGCCATTAGCCTAGCTCTTTTTCCATGAAGAGTT